GGTTTTATTAGTAGTAAAATACCAGTTCATGAAATAATTTGGGCTGGGCATGGTAGTACGCATCTGTATTCCCAGTAATCAGAGAGACTGAGGCAGGAGCATCATAAGTTCAAGCCCAGCCTGGGCAATTTAGCAAGAGTCTATCTCAAAATAAAAACAAAGTGCTGGGGTTGTAGCTCAATAGGAAGGCCCTGGGTTCTATTCCCAGTATTGCAAAACAACAACAAAAGAAAGGAAGCTGTGGTGCATTGACTAATGATCAACTTGTAACGCCCAGCTGAACTGAATCAACATGGTCTGGGTGTGGAGGATCCACCTGAGGATTGTTACCAATAGCCATAAAACGAGAACTGGAGGGGAAGATTATGGGCTGTTGATTTTCTAGGAGAAGCTTGCTGTGGATGGCTGTCTTCCTGAGGTTGACTAGGCTGTTGTCTTCCCAGGAAGAGCTCAGGGCCTTGCTGTCACTGGGAATGGCTGCTGTTCTCCCCAGGGGAGCTCTGGTCTTCACCGTGAGTGTCACTTCCTGGCTCCAGTGTGGATCCCTCAGCCTGGTGGCACAGATCCTTCATCCCACTGGTGTAAGTTATGTGGCTACCATCCCTGGCCTTTGGGACTTCCGGGTGCAGATCCTCAGTACCGAGAAGCATGAAACCCTGCCTTGAATGCTAAACCTTAAGCCAGACTGGTGTAGGACATTTCTGTGGGATCCTGGCCCTCAGCTGGATTCTTTGGGGCTCTGGTGTGCGGTTAATCTCTTGTACTCTTTTGCATTTCACTTTTTGGCTAATTATCATAAAATAATCCTATGAAATATGTGTCCTGCAGTAAATGTATTCTCTTGCCAAAACCCTGACTACAATAGAAGTAATGTCTCTATTTTCTGAAAGAGTTCATGTAGAATTGATATAATTTCTTTCTTATGTTTGATATAGCACACCTGAGAAGAATATCTGGGCCTGAAATTTTCCTTGTGGTAAGTTCATATTTTTAAATTGAATTGCTTTAATATTTATAATGGTATTCCAGTTCATTATTTGTTGACTCAGTTTTGGTAATTCATATGTGCAAAGGGATTTGTCAGTTTAATATAAGTTATTGACTTTATTGGCATAAAGTTACTTCTACTACTTCTTTATTTTACTTTTTATGACATATGAGCTAGAGTGATATTCAATGCTGGTCATTTCCATTTTCTCTCTCTCTCTCTCTCTCTCTCTCTCTCTCTCCCCCACCTTCCCTCCCTCAATACCTCATTTATCAACTATATGGTTAGCAATTTATTAAACTTTTCAAAGAATTAACTTTGAGTTTCATTGACTTTTCTCACTGTTTATTCATTTAAAATTGATCTCTTGATTTTTTTCCTCCCTTCTTTTTACTATTTACTTCTAGTTAATTTTCTCTATAGCTGTTTTTATTTTTGTAGTTTAAATTGAAAACACCACGAACTAAGTTCAGATCTTTGTAAATACTTGAAGCTGCAAAATTTCCCACTAAACTCCACGGTAGCTACAGCCCTAAAATTTTCACATTTAATTTTCATTATGATTCATCTCTAGTATTTCTAATACTTTTCCTAGTATTTTGACACATAGATTATTTTAAAATATATCGTTTAATATTTGTAACTCAAATATTTGAAATTTTTCTGCATAATTTATCATTATTGATTTAATTCTATTATTGTTAGACAACATATTCTCTTTGGTTTCAATATTTTTAAAGTTTTAAATCCTGCTCATGCTGTAACCTAGGTCTGGTAATAGAGACATGCAGTTTTGGAATATAGTATCCTATAAATACCAATTAATTCAAAGTGATTGCAAGTGTTTATGTATTTAATTTGCTACTTTATTAGTATTACTATTTGTTGTTATGGGAATTGAACCCAGGGCCTCAGGCATGCTAAGTAAGTGCTCTACCACTGGGCATTGATAATATTGATTTGCTTATTAACATGGTTAAGTCCAGGGCTACTAGTTTAGTATTTGTTTTCAACGTTTTGTTTCCTTTGTTCTTTTTTCCTTTTTATTTTTTATTTTATTTTTTTGGTACCAGGGATCAAACTCAGGTCCTTGTGTTTGTGAGGTAGGCAGCAGCACCACTGAACTAAACCCCTGGCCCTCCTTTTTATTTCCTTTCCAGTCCTTCTTTTTTTTTCTGGGAGTGGGGAGAGGTAAGGATAGAGGGATTACTTGGATATTTTTAGGTTTTCATCACAATTTTGTTACTTTTCAGCTTGGCTTTTTGATGGTGTTTGTGGTGCTGAGCTTTGAACCCCGGTCCTGTGCATGCTAAGCACTAGGTTGTTATTTTACGTTATGTTTCAGTGGTTGATTTAGATCATAGTATAACTCCCTAACTTTAACGGTTCAATTATAAACAATATTATACCATTTCATGGAAAATACATGAACTTTTTCATTGTAAGTCTACCTTGGCTACCATTTCTGTGCTAGCCATACTTCACAAATCCATAAAAATGTAATTTTTAACGAATCATGTAGAGTATAACAATTTTTTAAAGAAAAAAGGCAAAAATAGTTTCATATTGTCATTTCTATTGCTCGTCATTTCTTTCTGTAAATCAGAATTTCTATCTTGTAATTTCTGTTCAGTCTGAACAGAGTCTGTATTACAGTTCTTGTTCGCATAGGTCCATTGTCAACAATTTCTCTTAGTCTCCATGTATCTGATAAGGACTTTATTTGCTCTCCTATGTATTTGAGACTAAATCACTATGTCTCGAACTCACAGCGATCCTCTTGCCTCAGCCTCCCGTGTGCTGGGATTACAGGTGTGCGACACCACACCCAGCTTTGCTATTCCATTTTAAAAGAAAAATTCAGTACATATAGAATTTTATGCTAGCATCTTTTCTTCCACTACTTTTGAAATACGGATGTAGCCTTTGATATCTCCAGGAATAAATCAGCTGTTAATCAAGTAGCCAGTTAACTTTTTTCTTGCTGTTGTCAATAATTTCAACTTGATTTTGAAGTTTTTTACTATAATTTGCTTCTAATTTTTATCCTGCTTGGTATTCACTAACCATTTTTAAATCTATAAATTTATTTCTTTCATCAAACTTGGAGTACTTGACCATCATTTCTCTAAATATTTTCTTCTAGCTAATTTGTTGTCTGCTATTCTTTGGGGACGCCAGTTACACCTGTGTTAGATGCTATACATTGTTTAATAAGTTTCCGAAGCTCTCTTCATTTTTCCCCAGTTTTTTCTTCCATATCTGAATTTTTTGTTGGTCTCTCCCTTAAATTCACTTATTTTGTCCTATCCATTGGCATTCAGGTAAGCCAATGAGTTTAAAAGTTCACCCAGAGACGTTTTATTTTCAGAGCTATATATTTCAGTTATAAAACATTCCATTTGGCTATGCATATATTTTGTTTCTATTTATATGCTGTCACTTCTGATCTTTTCGATTCTCCTATGTGAACTTACAGTTTAGAGGTTACCCAGATGTATGGTCAGAAAACATTTTAGGGTTCCATCTCCAGCATTTCCCTTTCTCCAACAGCTATAGTTGATGCAGATTCAATGGTTTCTCTGAGCAGAAAGCTGTGCTAATCTTTTTGACAAATCCACTGCTCCATTCTCTGTGCCAACCATGTTTGACCGCAGGCTAAAACCTGTGGAAAATCTAATGGTTCCATATAATTTTCTTCCACTGGGCTCAGGCTCTCCAAAAGAATACACTTCCTCCTCTACACACTGTAGTGCCCTAAGGTAGCTACTTGTTCTGTGTTATATCCACTGTTTATAGTTATTATCTGCAGGTGGATTGTTCTGGTTGGATCTTGCTCAGTTATTTCCCTCTATGGACATGAGTTTTCATTTTGCTTTTATGCTCTACAGGAATGTATTTGATTCTCGATTATGTCCTTTTAATGATCTTTTCAAATTTTTGCTAGTCATCATTAGCAAGAAAATTTAGACTGATAGGTGATAAAAAATTTAAAACCATTTTTGTAACTGTTCATAAATTTGCAGTAGTTGAAGTGTTCAACAGAGCTAACAGCTTCTCTTTCTTTGTGCTGAAAAATGTAAAATGCTGAAATTTCTGGTGATAATGCAAATGAGTTCCCAATCCAAGAGAATGCTTTCATATCAAGCATTTCAAAACAATCACGATGCTCTAATTAGTAGAAAATTCATGCATTGTTAGAGCAGTCAACCTGCAGTTAGCTGTATGCCATGAAAAGGGCACATTAGCTGCAAAAGCATCTGATATGTGTGAAGGTAGAGACTTGTTCCCCCTAAAGATGTGCTGTAAGCAGCACCTGCTGCTGCTACAGCCTCTTCAACTCCACCTCCTGCACCTTCACCCAGGCACATGACTTCTTATGTATTTGTAGGAAAACTACACTAGCTTGCCCATGGACCTCTTGTTTAGGGTGGGTAAGGATGATCCAAGCAGCTGGTTGTAACACAGTTGATCAAGATACAGAGATATTTGCTGGCTGCTCATAGAGAATTATGGCAATTAAGAGAAGCAGTGTTCTACTCATCATAGGCAATATTTTCTGGGATTTAGGATCAACTGGCAGACATATCTGTTTCAGGCCACCTTCTTAGGAACCCAGAATAGTCCATTTATTCATGGCTTCCATACACAAGTTTCAGGTCTCTAGCAGCCCCAAGCTCCATCTGGATACTAGAAAGACTAGAGGTATTAAAATATAATGTGCTGGACCTCTACCTGCTAAGTACCTACAGTGGGTGGTGGTGTTGAAATACTGAAATACCTGCATAGTGGAGGATGAAAAGTTATGACTCTGTTCCCCCAATATTTCACCTCCTCCATGAATTCCTGGCTAAGCTATAGAGCTTATTGCCCTTTCCTCTTCCCACGTGTTTGTCACTAGTGTAGTTTGAGTTGCATCTTAAACAAGTGCATGTGGGTCATTTTAGAATCTTGTCACAATGCAGATTCTGCTTCTGCATTGTTACAATGTAGATTCTGACAGGGGGATCAGCAGGAGTGAGCCGATTCTGCATTAAGAAGCTCCTGCAGATGCTGAAACTGTTGATCTGTGAGCCACACTTCAAATGTTAAGGACATACTTTGAAGGCCACCTACATGTGAAGGTACTATACAACACCCAACTGATGTCTGAAATCATCTAGTTGTTGGGGTTATGAGACGTCAGACGGATATACCCTAAATTTACATCTTAGCTAATCAAGGCAAGCTACTAAAATTGTAGGCCTCACTATTTGCATTAGTAATTGAGCTAATAGTACATATTTCTTATTGAGGTTACTGTGATGATTAATGAGGTAATCGTGAAAAAGTTTAAAGTACTGCACAGCACCTATAAGGCCCCAACAAATATCAGCCACTGTTATTATGCATGCTCTGAAGTTGCTTACAAATTTACTATAGAGGCAAAATTTCCCAATTAAGAAGAAACACAAATATACCATCTGTTAAACAGAATATAATCAAATTTCAAAATCTCTAGTAGAAAATAGTGGCTATTCTACTGGTTTCAGGGAAATTTTCTTATAGAGGTAATCCTTAAGGCTCTACGGGAATTTAGACAGCTGAAAGATTCGCTCACATGGTACAAAGGCTAGAATCCAGATGCTGTCTCTGAAGTTGATCTGACAAATCATGTCCGGGTCTATGGACGCATAGGCAGGTTACAAATACACTGATTATCCTACTCGGGAATGCGTTAGTTGTACAAAATGGAGGTCACTTCAACTAGCATAGATAAAAGAAGTTTATTTATTAGATCTGTATGCAGAGGAATCCAAGAAAAGTTGAAAAGGAAAGATTCACAAAAACGACAGGAATGGAGGTCACCCTGAGCCACTATCTCATTTTCATCTCATCCTCTTGGTTTGTTTGTTCCCTGCTCTCTATATACTAACCAGCTATTTCCATTCCTCCTCCCAATTAAGTCAACAAACATTTGTTGAGTGCCTGACATTTTCCTCCCTCTGATTCTAAACAACAGCATTAGATGGATCTGTGACCCAAAACTATAAAAAATTTGTCTTTGTAATGCCTTTGTTTTAGTAGGAGAAGAAAGATAACTAAGGACACATTTCATTAATAACTATAGCAGACAGCATCCTAGAAAGTGGCACGGGAAACTGTGGAGCAAGAGAATCAGAAAATGCCATGGTTAGATGCAATGCCGGTTGCAAGTTTAGTTGGGGTGCTCCAATAGATGTCACGGAGAGGGTGGCCTTTGAGCAAAGGCTTAAAGTCGGGGTGCTTGGGAGGTATTGAGCTAAACAGAAGTCAAGGGAAAGAGAGCTACAGACAATGAGAAGGACGAGTTCTAGGGCTTTGAGGTAGGAACGTATCAAGTATGTTTTAGAAGCAGAAAGGAGGCCTACATGGGCAGATTGTGGTTAGGGATGGGAAATAGATGGAAAAAGATAGTAGTGATTGTAGTAGTGATTGTGGTATCTGCAATCACCAGATACAAAAAAAAAAAAAAAAAAAAAAAAAAAAAAAAAAAGA